TGTCCTTGGGTACGAAAGTGACCCTGTTGGCTTCGTATCACTCCAGGACAACATTTGAATAGTGGCACGAAGCTAAATCCGCCCAGAAGATCGTAGGGCCCTCATGTTGCTTCAACAGAGGAAGCAGACGCTTCGGTAGACACTCCTTGAGGTAGATCTCCCGTTTACAGTCCCAGTAGTCACGAACGGCGCACTTCGTTTGCCACATGAGCAGATCGCTTGCCAAATCATGTATTTCTTGGAAAACTTTGAAAGTTTCTGCTTCCTTACTTCCTGCGGAACATCGAACTTGTGCTGGGCGGTGAAGAACAGTAGCCCCGGAAACTGCAGGAAGTCTGCCTAGACGTAATTCTCATCATCCATGATGAGACAATGAGGCTTCGTCAGCATCTGGCTGTACAGTTTCCGGGCCCGTGACTTTTCCCCGGTATTATGCCGTTCGTCACGATTTGGAGTCTTCTGCACTTTGGACGTATGCAGTCCCTCCCGGTCCTCTCTGAACGAAAGACTTGGCATTGGGATTCCGCTTAAACGTTTTCACGACACGCTTGTGATCCTGATCAGTAATAGAACATCCATTCTGACCGCATTTCTCCTTCCGTTCGATGCTCAGAGTTTTTGAGTTGTTTTCCGATGTCCCGATGAGAGAGTTGAAGATTTTGCTTTTCGGGTAGCGCCATTTTTTCCAACTTTCGAAAAACTTACAGCGATAAAAATACAGTGTAAACAATACACTCTAAACCACTTCTACCAAAATTTTCAAGAGAAAATACTCAATGGGTAATTTTCTATAGCGTTTTTTCCGTTATGCAATTTGATGTGGGACACCGTTTACTGCATGTTTTTTGAGTAAATTTACCCGTAGTCCTTCAATGTCAAGGTGTATCAACAAACTTTGTTCAGATAAAATGTGCTCCATTATTTGCTTTACAAGTCTTCTCAAGATTATTTTATCGAAGAAACAAAAACAAGAATGTTGTAATAAAATACTGATGTTTTATTTCAATTGACGAAGGCACGGATCATTCTCATTCGAGAAACACTTGATATCATTCTATTGAGTGTAACCTAAAAGCTAAGCCAACCCGACTTCTACCGAACCCCAACTTGATGTTGACCCGGCATTGACCTGAAATAAACCAAAAATTGATCCGACATTAACCCGAAATTAGGTTGACATCGACCTTACATTGAAACGACTTCGAGTCGACATGTCTGTTCGGGACAATTTTTTTGGGTTTCTTCCATACTCCATTAACTTTTCGACGCAAGATCTCACTAATACAACCTAGCTAGTCGCCGTGTAAAATCGATTTCTTTATTATTTTCAACCACAACATCAGCTGTCAAAGTGTTAGACTTGACAGCGATTTGTTTTTTTTTATTTTCAACCAGTAAGACGCATGTATTAGTGAAACTGCTTACTAATACTAACGTTGGTAGAGAACTCTATTGTCGTATATCAAATCATAATGAGTGACTCAATTGGATTTAAAAAAAAAAAGATTGCATGAAGATTTCAACATTTTTTGCAAAAATGGATTGCCCAACTTACTGGTATATCAGACATAGAGGTATACTTCGATATAACGTAACTGCACTTTTCCGTTCCTGTTGACGATTTCTCGTAAACAACAACTCAATCACTCAATTCAACATTACCAATTGATACGGGATTATCTCATCTATCTGATGATGTTGTTACTTTGCGTAATTTAACGGTTTTTTGTAATAAATTGGCGATTAAAGTGAAAAGTCACAGTTACGTCATATCAAGATATAGGTATGGTAAAACGGGGTATCTTTGATAATACGGGTTACTTTGATAGGAGAATGTAATGATTAAATTTACACTCTGCACTATTTCTGAATTGGAAACATTGGTTCTATTTTGTAGCTTAGGATATTACCTTTAATATCGTATAGTGTTTTTTGTAGTATGTTTTACAAATTTTCTAAATACTTGAAAAATTTATTTCTTTTGTTTTTCACCTGATTGTATAGGCACTCACACAATCACTTATTGAATGTACATGTACATTTCCTATAAGGTCATCACGAATTTAATATTGTGTTATTATTGTGTATGATGTTTCTGATTATATATTCATTCAAAGTTTCTTATTTATTGATTAAAATTGTTTGAGATTCACGCATGGTTTTCTAAATTCATCGAGTATTATCAAAGTAACTCCAAAACAAAAACAAAACTGATGTTCGGTCACAGGACAAAAAAAAATAGTACAAATGTAATAATTCCCGTTAAACATATTACTAACTAATTGACTGACTTGTTAAAAAAAATTGAAAAACATTCATTGTTGCGAACAATATTTAGAATATACTTCAAAAAACTATCAAGGGTACCCCGTTTTACGGTACTTGTATTCCATTTCGTGGAATTAGGTATATACCAAATATTTGTGGGTTGGTATTCATGATGTTTGTATGTAACGGAACCTTACTATGTCAATGGGAATTCCTTAAACTGAGAGAAAAAACTCCCTACAAAAAGTCAGACTTAAATCAAAACTCTAGCGGTAGAAAGTTCTTGTCCTCAGATTTGAAAATAAAACATTCAAGATCAATATGATTTTGAGCTCACCGAAATTTCAAGCAATTTGTGATTTCAAGACTCATACGGACTTGGTAAAACTATCATGTTCGTGGACTTAGCAAGAAGGTTGCACTTCTTGGTCATCTAAGCCCTATTGAAAGGTAGTAGTATTATAAAAGTTGATTTCATATGGTTTTGCCTCAGGATATGGAGACGGTAAATGTTCCACAAGCATCTACTTTATTGTATAGAGTTGACAGAAAGCATGAACATATGCTTGACGACATTTTATCGTGTGTTTGCCTATTTTATACTTTGATCTAGAACTGGGATTATCCGGATATCCGGAAACTATCTGAATTCCGGCTCAGACTAATTTCCGGATTAAAATGACAGCAGGCAATACACAAAACCGGTGTGTTGCAGTTAAAATGCAAACAAAAGTACTTAAAATAATGTAATTTGGTGTACTAAAAATGTTAATATGTAGGTACTTTATTTACGAAATTTAGACTGTAATTAATAGACTTAAATTTAATAGACCTCTTTCAGTGTGTAATTAAAGTAGATAAAGAAGGAATTAATGAAATAAATGTAATTACAGCCGTTGTCTGAGTGCTCCTAGAAGTTTTGGGTAGTCGGATATCCGGTTATCTTTATAACATGGGAAATGTTGTTAGGGTCAGGGAAAGGAGGAATTGTTAATAGTGGTAGGCCTTCAGAGCGAACTAACAATCAAAGCAAACGTATCACCAACTAGCATATACAATTTTCATTTCTATTTCAACCACGTTTTTCTTAATCTAGATCTAGATTTTGAAACCAATTTCTTAATTCAATTTTTCACTCTTTATGTTAATATGTAGGTATGTCGGTTGAATGACCCAATAGTGTTCTATCTAGAGACTATTAAAATATTCCATGAATCAGTAGGCTCAGGTTCTGGGGCTTTGCAAACATACGAGGTCTCGAGCTTAGAAAATGGATGCAAATTGATTCTTCTAAGTATCACGATAATATCATTCTGCAGATCAGATACCAAATGAAATCATACTTATTAACATTTAACAGTATGAGACAATTGGTAATTCGTGATCTGTCGGGTGTCAGAATATTCGTCTATCTGTATAAGGATAGATTCCAGGCACTACTTTGATCGTTAGTAAAATATCAAACCAAAGTATTTTTTTAAAATTTACTTCAGGCTAGATCTTGTTCTAACTAATGAGCTATTTTTTTTATAACAGCACTTACATATTTAGGCCATTCGAGAATTTTCCGGATAAGAGACTTGAACTCGTAACCGTAAGCAAGAGAGGCATAAATGAAATGAGCGGAATTTTACACAAAACCTATTGAAATATAAAGAAAGCAAATTTTGGAAACGGAGTAGGTAATCAAATGGACTGTGATCAAATGGATCATCCAAAAGTGCAGTTCATCCGAGTAAAATATTGTTGGAATAGTTCTGGCTCTTAAGGACAACATTGATAGAATGCCAAATCATTTTACATGCCAAATCAGCCATGACAACGGCCATTTTTTGATTCTATAAATCTTGTCCTTAAAAATTGTTATGTAGCGCATATTTTGGTTATTCTCTTAAATTGTATCCCACAAAATCCCTCAAATTGAACACAACCGATAATCTGTCATATTGTTTCTAAATGGACGCAAGACTGAAGATCCTACTACAACTTCAAATTAAATATTTATTCCTTTATTCAGTTACAAATCAGTATATAAAAGATCCTTTCAGTATCTGGTTATGGAGAAGCGTTGACCGTTTATCAACATAGGAAATTCCTAACATGAAAACTTAAACGGAGTAGAATGAACAATTCTAGATAGAGCTGGAATTAGGGTGTAACAACTTTTGTAAACAATGATTTCTCTCGTTGATTTCTAGCAACTCAAGGCACGCCTACACAAACCAACATATCCATCGGGTAGGGGAAGTCTTCCCCTATTCGATGGTAATGTTGATTTGCCGGGAAGGGTCATGCCTTTCGAGAAATCATCGAGAGAAGCCATTGTTTACAAAAGCTGTTACGCCCTAATTCCAGGTCTATCTAGAATTTACTTTTGTAGCAGTGAAAAATTTAGTAAATGCTAACGATGAAAGGGGTAGGTGATGCATCGATTGAAAGGCTTAATTGATTGATAATTTGACGAATGAGCGCTTAAAACGACAAGCGTTCATTTGACTGTGATTCATCACAGTTTAAAATGTGTCCGAATGGAAAGTGTGCGTGGCAGTCGAAACCCCTCCGATAAATAAATTAAATAAAAAGTTCCAAACTGGTCCTCAATACCCATTTCTTGCACATACAAAATTAATAATGGTTCACCTTAAAAAAAATCACTCGATCTAAGTACATAGTACAACTCGAAAAATAACAAACCCGTTGCACTGTTTCTCTCTCTACTTTCTACCTTACAGGGGATTAGGCAAGCAAGGCTATCAATGTCAAGGTAAGAAAGGCACACACGCTAAGCGCCTCTCCTGCGCTTCACGGTGTGTCCTATCGCTGTAGTCAATGTTGTGATCCTCTTTTGCCTCCTATGTTCGAATCTCTTGAAACTGTTCCTAATTTTTCTCTGATTTATTTTAATTTATCATATCTGAGTTTGGAACATATCTCCGGACGGCCTATGTCCACTACTGTTTGGTTTTCTCATTTCTAATTCCATGTACTCGGAGTTGACTGCATCGATTTCCACGTGTACCCTGGTTACTCGTGGCATATTTGTCGATACTCGTCTTCTCTCCAATTTCATCTGCACCCACTTTTCATTAACTGATTTCGTATGCTGCGCAACACACTTCACTGACACTTACTAACTTTTTCAAAGGCTTTGTTTTTCGTTCTATTGTAACAATTGAAACGTTCTGTTGAATCTTAACATCATCGCTTTTTCCTCAATTGTAACTGTGAAATAGAATATGTCTTGGAGCAGGCACTTTAATTTCAATGTAACCTGATCTAATGTAACCTCCGTATTTCAGTTTGCACATGCGTGGTTCACAAACGGTGCCATAGTTCTGTCGTGACCAAGTGTCCCAAGAAAAAGGATGAGGTATTACCAGTTGCTCCAAGTTTGCGCAATCTTTTCAAGTAAATTTTCTTTTCCTACCAACTGATCACCCAGCAGACCAAGCCCGCACCGCAGGATGCGGCCCAGCGCTTCAATGTAAATATACCACATAGATTTGCAGTGCACTCGTTCAAGCGGCTGACATTCTGCGACCACTGCGGTTCGCTCCTGTACGGGATCATCAGACAGGGTCTGAAGTGCGAAGTGTGCAGCATGAACATCCACCGGCGCTGCGAAGGAAATGTGGCCAACAACTGCGGCATCAACACGAAGCAGCTGGCCGAGTTGCTCAACGAGATGGGCATCACCATGGATAAAACACCACCACGTAGATCTAAGGTGAGTGATTTGCACCGAATAGAAGACTATGCTCCACTGTGATCTTGGCTCGGGCTACGCAGTCTTCGGATAGCCTTTCAATAAACTAAATTATTTTTCTTGGTTTTGGTAAGGCTTAGATTGCGCCAAAGATTTCGTCATTTTACCCCCGTATTATGCGAGTCGTGTGACTCTCTGGAGACAAAACTAACGTCGTGTGAGGTAAATCTCCGTGCAAATCTAATCTAATCTAATCTAATCTAATACAAACGCAGCCAGTACGAGAAAGCATCCTGGAAAATGCCTCCAATATTCCCCAAATTCCTAATTTATAGATAAAATTGAATGATCTCACCAAAACTGGTCTGCTTGACTGTGATCATCAACTTTTCCGGACTTCTCTAGTCCACGATTTTCTCCAGTAGCTATAGCCTTTAGCTTTTGTCTGTTGTCCTCCGCCAAACGCTTCGTCTTCATCACACAGCTCGCAACGAACGCCGTACACGGATCTTCGTTCTCTTCTGTTTTCTTCTTACCGCGTTTGCCAATCAACACTAAAGGCCCACGCACATTAGATCCGGATCGGACGCGTTGCGGCAAAGTGACAGCTAAATATTTTGTCTAACTGTCAAATTTACGTCAACGCAACGTAAACGGATCTAATGTGGGTGGCCCTTAACTGTAGTTAAACCATCTCTTCCCATTTGAACCAAAAAATCACTTCGCGGCTTGCAAAACGACCTAAAGGATCAAGGAATTTGTCATCGTAACGATGTTTTTCACAGATCAAACTTTTCACACCGGCCAGAAGGAAAATGTTCGTTTGAACTTTATGCAAAAGATTCTCAAATTGAGAGTCACCTCACACGACTTTACTTTTGTCGCCTCACAAGTGACAGAAATTCGCACGAATCACAGAAAAGGGGGTTAGGCTTAGTTTAACAGATTTTTCATTCTCTCCTTAGCAGAAGGGAAAAGGGATAGACACTCAGTTTTGGAAATTCAAAGGCAGTTGTTTAGTTTAAATTTGAAATTCTGTCAATGAAAATGTGTTCACTGTGTTCCAATAGGCAAGTAGGATGCGATGAGCACATTTTCATGAACGTGCTTTATTTGAACGAAAAAACTGCGTTTGAATTTTGGAAAATTAATCACGTTCCCCTTTCACCTTAATGTATTTGCAAGAATTTATTTCAATGGCACCGAGCATCTCTGCTTTTTACCAATCTTTATGGTTAGATAATTTATTATCAAAAAAAAACTACTCGACGAGGATGGGATTCGAACCCACGCGTGCAGAGCACATTGGATTAGCAGTCCAACGCCTTAACCTCTCGGCCACCTCGTCTGTTAAAATTTTCGCTCTCTACATCCCATCGCACACGGTTCATGTATGCATCGATCGAGTAGTCACGCTTATACATTTTCAATTTCAGTATTTAAATCAAGCGCCTAGTGATAACTCATCCACCTCGGAACGTAGCGAGGACAGTTCGCTGGATTCGCTTTCGACCAAGAGTAGCCTGGATACCGAAAGTCTACATTCGCAACAGGGCGCACAACAGCGGCCCACATCTAGTCAACAGCATAAACTGGCCGGTGCGGCTGGTGCCACATCTCAGGACGACGATAGCAACCGTGCAGCGAGCGGGGGCGTGATGGTTGGCAAGACGTGCCTGAATGATTTCAACTTCATCAAAGTTCTCGGCAAGGGTTCTTTCGGCAAGGTGATGCTGGCCGAACGGAAAGGTACTGACGAGGTGTACGCCATAAAGGTGCTGAAGAAGGACGTAATCCTGCAGGATGACGACGTGGACTGTACGATGACCGAGAAGCGAATTCTGGCACTGGCGGCCAAACATCCGTTCTTGACTGCGCTGCATTCGTGCTTCCAAACACCGGATCGCCTGTTCTTCGTGATGGAGTACGTCAACGGTGGCGATTTGATGTTCCAGATTCAGAGAGCGCGCAAATTCGATGAACCGCGGGCGGCATTCTATGCAGCCGAAGTAACGTTAGCGCTGCAATTCCTGCACCGTAATGGGGTAATTTATAGAGATTTAAAACTGGATAACATCCTTCTGGACGCCGAGGGTCACTGCAAGCTGGCTGACTTTGGAATGTGCAAGGTTAGGATTGTGTTTGAAGCGGTCATTTGGAAGATATGATTTTCGATCGGCCATTTTCATCCATTTCAGGAGGGCATTATCGGTGACAATTTGACCTCGACGTTCTGCGGAACGCCAGACTATATCGCACCGGAAATTCTGCAAGAGTTGGATTACGGCCCGTCCGTCGATTGGTGGGCGCTGGGTGTGCTAATGTACGAAATGATGGCCGGACAACCTCCATTCGAAGCGGACAATGAGGACGATCTGTTCGAAGCGATCCTACGGGACGATGTTCTCTATCCCGTCTGGTTGTCACGTGAAGCGGTGTCGATTTTGAAAGGTGCATAGCGGTGTCGATATGTGTTTTAAATATAACCTTCACTGACTTGATTTCCTATTTACAGGGTTCATGACAAAGAATGCAGCTAAGCGATTAGGTTGCATCGATGGCGAAAACCAGATCCGTACCCATCCCTTTTTCAAGGATATGGATTGGGATGCGCTCGAGCAGCGAAAAGTACGACCACCATTCCGGCCAAGAGTGGTAAGTGTGCTGTTTGGTAGCACTTTTTCAATCTGTATGGAACTTTTACAAACCGTCCACTTTCGTACAATTTCAGCGAAGTGCACGCGATGCCCTCAATTTCGATACCGAGTTCACCAAGGAGGACCCAGTATTAACCCCAGTGCCGAACGATATCATCCGTTGCATCAATCAGGAAGAATTTGCCGGATTTTCGTTCGTAAATTCCGAGTTCGGTCCGGAGCGTAAAATTGTTTGTTAAAAAACGGAAGAATCGCAAACCAGCAGCAGCAGCAACAACAACAACAACAACAACAAGCACACATTTATATACATTGCGCGCTTTACCGCTTATAAGTGATAAAACCAAAGAGTAAACCCAACACAAATAAGCACACAAACAAAACAAACATACACACACAACAAATAGGTGTTGCTCCCATCGTCGGAGCACTAGTAGGAAACTAAACAAAAGAGCAGAGCGGAAATGTTATAGAAGGTTTTATAATTGCAGGAAAGTTCTGATTTTTATTACAAATGCTGCACAAAACACACGGATCGGTATCGAAAGAATGAGTACCGAACATGATTGGAAAAGAGCTAGAAAAGTTACAAAAAACAGACACACACACTCATACACACACATACACACGCGAGATTAATGCTTATTTTTGGAAGGAAGAGGAAGACGACAGAGAGAAAGGTGAGAGCAAAACGAACCAGTCGATTTTAGTAGGATAACTTTTAGTTTTAGCGAGAAGGCAGCATTGCAAATGCACAAAACGTTTCGTTGAAGAATCTGTTACACTTTCGGTATTGCGAATTTAGTTGCCATATAAATCGAACGAATCATCGATTGCAGTGATTTTTTTTTCTGTATCTAAGCTTTCAGTTAATTTTTAGCAAAACAATAGCTTTATTTTCAAGTGTACGCGCGCTAAAAGCAGGGCTTAGGAGTGCAATATTTTGATGTTAACTTTTGTGTTTCTGTTAAGTTTAGAATTGCTGTTTCCGTTCACGGTAATCTCCGATCAGTTAAGTTAAGTTATCTTATTACAAGCATTTTACAAATAGTAAAATTCATTTCCCTACTGTTATGCAAACATAATGTGCTTTGCATACGAACAATATCGCTAGATAATTTTGCACCAACGGAAAACTAGGAAACAATCATCATAATTTGACGTCCAATTTGAGTGTTCAAAGAGAGAATCTATGGGAAGGGTCATCCAGTAGACATTCTGTTCCATTGTCGTTTATCGAAGCAAAATAAATTCCTTAAACAGTCAACAGTCACAGTCATGAGATGGGTCATCCACCAGTTGTTGTAACGGTTGAAATCGCCATTTAAATTGTGCATGCTAGTCATTAGAAAATATGTTACCTTTTAACTTGATTCACAGCGCGAAGACTTGGTTTTAACTTAAGTTTGGGAGATAATGGTTTGTAAGCTGCACTGGGCAAGTTTTGCGCTATATTCATGTTTGGGTGCTATGCAAGATTGGAAAGGGTTCATTTGAGTGGCAGGGATTTGATTGTTTTGAAATTGTACAGAATCGAGCTAAACAAGCGAAAGCAAATAGATCTGATACAATTCGACGATAATCGTAATAAAATTGGTTGAATTCAACTGCAATCTAATTAGAGTCGTTCCAATGTTGGAAACTTTCTGCAATCTTACTGTGATACTTGACTCTTGTCAAACTTTACGTTTATTATGCTATGCTAAATTAGACGCGTTATTCGATGAGTTAAGTAACACAATAGCTTCCACTCCCTCGTTTTGTTGAAGAGGATGATATAATTGCTATGTACCACCAAAGTCAATAAAAATATATGCACTACCGCAATGACGGAAGTTTGTACGAAAATGGCTATGGTAGAATCTCAGTTCATGATAAAACATCGGGCAGCGGTCGAAAGGCAGAATTTGTGATAGGTCGGATTTCAAAAGGCAGAAAAATGAAAACGCATAATTTCAAAAGGGGCCACCCTTAGCTCAGTCGGTAATGACGCTGACCAAGAGATGAACTAGCCTATGGCTAAAAATCTCTCAAATAAAGGGAAAAAAAAAGGTAATGACGCGGCTACAAAGCAAGACCATGCTGGGCTGGGTTCGATTCCAGGTCCGGTCGAGGAACTTTTCGGGTTGGAACATTTCTCGACTTTCCTGGGCATAGAGTATGATTGTACTTGCCACATGATTATACTAATACCTTGTACAGACATACAAAGTTCACTGTTGTACTACCGTTGTACTGCTTTAAGCTAGTACTACAAATTATACTTTTTGAGGTACTAGATTAAAGGAGTTCAACGGTACTAATTTGTATGTCTGTCTGTGGTATAATGCAAACATGGTACAGGCAAGCTCTCAATCAACTGTGCAAGCGTATCTAAAACACTAAGTTGAGAGCACGCAATAAGCTCATACGCGATAAACAATAAGCTTAAAATGCGATGAAAAAAGAATAATTTCAAAAGCGAGAAAATTTTAAAAGGCGGAAGTTGTCAAATGCAAGCATACTGCTTTTTTTAAAGTTCCGCCTTATGTTTTTCTGCCTTTTGAAATTCGGCCTTTCAATAGTTCTGCCTTTCGACGTAAGATACAAAAATCACTGCAAAATTCATCTGATGTTGTCGTGTGCTCAATCTTCGTACAAGCCTTTTTGAAAAGTGTTATGAACATTTTGCTAAAGATAGGAAAATGAGCTAATGAGCGAGAGACAGCAAGACCTTTCATCTTATAAGGCTAATGTCATCAGGAGATATTAATTAGTCATCGAAGTATAAGGATTCTAGATTGAAGTTGTTAAGTTGCATGGTCATTATCGGTTCTGATGCATGGTCATTATCGGTGTTATTGTTTGATTTTGTTGCTAAGGAATCTGTTTTTGACTGCAAAAGGGGCGTGCCTTGTTCGAACACTCCAAAGGGTATAAAGAGCGGGACCTTACAATTATAGTCGGACCCTTGCGGTAAAGGCAAGAATGAACAGTTATCAAAACCGATTACTTCTTCATTTCTCAAAAGTGATGGAGTAATACGACATGCACTAAACTAAGGACACGGGGTAAACCACAATAGATCAAATAACGGGTCGCAGTGGATTTATGTTCCGAACTGAGGAAAAAAAGTATAGGATGGTGAGGAAAAATGCAAGCTGGGGTAAAACTGGCATTTACTTGTATCGTTGTGAAAACGATATATATCACATGCACATCATTTTGATCATGCACCCCTTATTGTTACTTTATTCCATGACACCATTATTTTTACTAAGTCGAACTTCAAAATTATATTGCGCATACTGTATACTTACCGATGGGGTAAAATGAACAGGTATTTATTTATTTATTGTTGTTATTTATCATCTGACATCGTGGTCTTAAAGAAACATTCTTAATCCTAGTTCAATTAAATATATGCAGGGATCGTAAACGTTGTTTAAAAGTTTAAATTAAAAATGTCTGTAGATATATTAAAATCAAAAACATCTTGAAACAGCCTGTTTATAGAGCTCACGGGGTCATTGGAGCCATGTAAAGTATTCCTCAGAGTTGAATTAGTTGTCGTGACCGCAACACTCGCTCTGAGGCATAAATCCCATACGATTCAGTAAGGCTGAACTATCAATCTCTGCGCGAAGTATCTTAGCCCAAAATACAGCTTCATCCATCTTACGACGATTTGCCAGCAGTTCGATACTCAGCAATGCACAACGAAACTCATAAGGCAGTTGGTTTCCTGGATCACGCCAATGTAGACTTCGTAGTGCAGTCCGGACAAATTTACGTTGCACAGATTTGATCCTGGAGATCCACACAGCTTAATACGGTGACCAAACAACCGATGTAAATTCTAGCAATAATAGAGAGCAATAAAGAGCACGTAAGCAAATTGGATCATTGAAGTCTTTCGCGATTTTTAAAATAAATCCTAGTTGACGGTTGGCTTTGGCAATGACAGCTGAATAATGCATCTTGAACGTGAGTTGGTGATTCAACATCACTCCAAGATCCTTCACTTTATCAACGCGCTCGAGTTCCTGTCCATCGATCGTGTAGTTGTACAGAATAGGCTTTTTGCGCCGCCGATACGAGTTGGTGCAACATTTACATAGATACACTCTCTTTCGCTGGAGTTGCACCAATGAGCGAATCGATCCAGTAACTCTTGAAGTTGCCTGCAATCGGCGATAAATTTCCAAATCTTCCGCATAAATGAGCAGTTCCCCATTTGCTAAAAGGATCGTCACTTAGGTAAAAAAAATAATACGAATAACAATGGACCAAGGTTGCTACCTTGAGGCACACCAGAGCACGGAGTAAACGGAGCAGACACTGTTGATCCAATTTTAACAAAGAGTTGCCTGTTGCTTAAGTACGAACAAACCAATTACATACTCTGCTGGAAACGCGTAGTCGCAAATGTAATAATACGAATTGTTATTTCTAATTTCATATGACAAATCTCATCAACTACGATCTTGACCCGATTGAAACTATATCTCTTTCTCGCTCATACCGTTTAATTTAATTGTCACCCTTTAATCTATTTCTGGTGCGATTGATTTTTTTACGAGAGAGAATGGTTCGGATTCGAACCTTGCACTTTACAACGAGACTCACAAACCAGTGAACGTTTCCAGTGGCGGTAAAAAATAATTTTGGAGGCAGCTAGTACGCCGTTTATTTATGCCGTTTTACAATACGTTACGTCATTTTCCACAAAATGAATAAATGTAAATGGTAAATAAATAACATGACCGATAATTAACATTGAAATACAAAAATAGATGGCAAAACAAATAATAAATAAAAAATAATGCTTAGCAATTCTTAAATTATATTAAAATAAAAGTGACCATGCTACAATCTTGTACAGTCGACGTATTGTAGAGCAATTGTGCTGGAAAAAAATATGATTACCTATAAACGGTTATGTTTTACCGCCTTTTCTGTTTAAGACAAGGGGCGATGTTTGAGTTAGTTTTTTTTTAATAACCGGGAAAAACCGGGAATTGAAAAATACGATTTGAATGGACACCCTGAATGATTCAAATGCACGTTTGGTCCGCATCATCACTGATCTGGCAACACTAATGAGTATCTTTCCAATGAGGTAAAGATCCTGATCAACGCTGTGACCTGGTAGTAATCAAGCTATCACAAGGTTTTGCCAATGGCCAGGGAGTCTACTGCACTACCATTAGTCATCCAAATTGCTTTTACTAACCTTATAATTGAGTTATAAGTATTACCCCAACTTTTGACCGTGTTACCCTCACCCGATAAGAAAATTTAGCATTAAGAAAGTATTTTTGGTTTGAAATTCATAATGATGAATACGATATTTTATTAGCAACATCAATTTCCTTAGCCCATTTGCAATGCTGTTGTATTTTATATAGACTGTTTCAATTTAAAACTAGAACAGAACTGCAACCCTCGTTGCAGTTTCATTACTCGAGCACTATTTTTCACCAGATTTGCAACTGTTCGACTATTCGGTTTTATTTCTGAGGGGGTTTGAAACACGAATGGAAATCTGTTGCAAATTTCTTTTGATGTATTTATTGATGTTTCTCGTAAGTTTCCAGAGAACTTCATAAGAGTTGAAAAGATTCAATAGAAATTTGGATATTTTGCGAACTTCTGAGAAGTTTCAGGATATTTTATAGAGATTTGGAGAACTTCATTTAAATAACAAAGAGCTTCACACAAAAAATCGGAGAACTTCATAGAGAACATTAAGCTGCATGGAAATTGTATTTTAAAAAGTTTCAGGGAGTATCATTGAAGTTTAGGTGATTTCAAAGAAGTGAGAGCTATTTCATAAAAGATCGGGAAACTTCAGAGTAGTTCTGAGAATTTCATAATATATTATAGAACTTCATGGAAATCTATGGATCTCCAAAGAATTTCATGAAAGCGCTTGCGTCTTTTTCATCAAGAAGATTTTCTCTCATATGATACCAGGCTGCTAAGAAATTATTCCAATGATCTTCAGGTGTTCTAAAGTTTCCATGAAGTCCTTCAGGTTTTATCAGGTATCATTCTGAAAATATCAAACTATCCAACAATCTAAATCACATCTCTCAGATGATACCAGGCAGCCCAAAAAATATTCCATTTGTTTTAAGATGTCTATAAAGTCCTCTGGATACTTTTCAAGACTTCCGTACTCCGTGGGTGGCGAAGGTGCATTTGCCAGCCAAAACTTCCGGATGTTTGTATGTTACAGAGAGAATTCATTTTCACTTATCAGGTTGCATGTATCT